CGACGAATGGTTCAAGCAATACGAATGGCACGTCTCCCGTCTTCGCTCCGTGCGCTGTACGTTCTCAAGCTATACAACCGTGGTGTCTTTGCTGATATTGTCAGTTGGACTGCATATCTCGAGAGGTTGTCCTGTCGCCCTGCCAGACTATCGACAACACAACATGCGTCTGCAACGACCAAGGGTTCTACAAGCAAATGGAGAAATGCATCATGGCGGGATGCACTCCACGAGAAGGAATCGGTGAGCAGGACAACATCCCTCTTGCTTTCCTAACGCCATTCCCTCGTACTTATGCGCTACACAACAGCTACGCAGAAGGCCAAGGCGGATTACTGTCACGACCCCGTTCGCTCGCAGGTAAAAATGCTCTACGGACTTCGTTCGCTAGAGATAGCCGCCTGGTTTCTGGTTTTGTTTCGATTTTACGCTCGCTGGGCTACACGATTACGATACGGGTGGGACGACTATGTAATGATGGCAGTAGCGGTAAGCATATCCTTGCGAATCGACAGCAGAAGACGGAGAACTAACATCTGGTAGATAATATACATTCCCGAGCTGGTCATCAGTCAGTTGAGTATGCCTGATCATATCGCCATTCGCAAGCAGGTTCTAACCATGCTGCTAGTGGATGACAATGCCTTCGGTCGTGACACTTGGAACTTGGAGTGGGACAAGATTATGCTGGGTCTGAAGGCAAGTCTATCCGATACACGACGCTTGCTTATCCTAACCCACCATAGCTCTTTTTCGTTCAAGAACCGCTCTACTTACTGCAGCTGGGACTTACGAAGATTTCTATCTTATTCTTGTACTTGCGAATCTTCCCCGGACGACGCTTCAAAAGAATCACATACGCCTTTATCATCTTCGTCGCCGGCACCACGGCTGCCCTCGTTGGCGGATCCATCGTCGAATGCTGGCCCATTGGATATTTCTGGGAGGCATGGAACACAGAATATCTGATTCACACCACCAAATGTCTCAACTTGACGGCGGCGGTGTTTGTCGCGGCGGGGGCTTCCATATTTCAAGACATCGTTATGATTATTCTTCCCATACCACCCCTGCTGAAAACGCAACTACCGAGAAAGGACAAGATAGGAGTCTCTATCATGTTCATTCTTGGCCTCCTCATCACGGGCGCAAGTTGCTTTCGCATGCAATATATCAACGTTGCATACTCACCCAACCCTTTTTGGGACTTCGAGCCAGCCTTGCTTTGGTCTCTTGTCGAACTTGCCATGTCTTTCCTCGTCACAAGTCTTCCAGCAATACATAGCTATCATACCCAGATAGTAAGGCCTAAAGTTAGGGCTTATCTCCAATCACGGCGCGAGGCAAAGTCCTCCCAGAACAGCGGCAGTGGGCCAAATGGGCAAATGCAGAGCAATGGACGATCCCGTTTTAGGACTGTACTGGCAGGAAGAGGGCAAAGACGCGCAAAAAACAATCTAATATCGACACTACTTTTCACGCCAATATCGTGGAAGTCATCTGCCGACCGAGAATCTCGTCAAACGAGAGAAGGGTTTCCGACGCCACAGGATGAAAGTGTTTTTGGGAGCAAAGCCCCACAGATCTCACTTAAGGATCTTGGTGGAACTCCAGGGCTACGAAGTCTCTCTGATGTGGTTAATAGGAGAGACTCAATACAGGAAGAAAGGGAAACGGCACACGGTTTGGCTTGGGCTAGTAGGTCCGCCCCTCAAAATACCGGGTCAAAGGTTGGAGGAGATGATACCATATCCCCGTCAAAAAGTACACAAACGCCAAAGAGTTGGCTTGTAGGAGATGACATCGTGTAGAAATCAAAGACATAGAAAACAACACTTGTGCATCCACTTCGAGTAGCGAAAGAGACGAAGTTAATTTTGCTCAGTCAATCCTTTAGCTTTAGGAAATCCTTACCGCCTTTTGTAAGCGCCTCACAATCAATTTAGATATCAGTTGAAAGGCTTGTTCTTGAAACATTCGGCCTGTGATAAGCCACGGTTGTTTTCTGGATTATCTTAGATTAACAACATGCGTAAAAACAGTCCGTGAGAAGACAAGCTCTAACAGAATTGAACCGCATGGATTATCATCCAGGACGGAAATCAGACCAAGGATAGAAAGAGGCATAGGATCGAATCATCCTAAGGATTGACTTTCCGAATAGCCGTTTAATTAATTATCAATCATCATGGTCAGCTTCAAATCCGGTAATCCGAGTCACGTGCACATAAACCGTGGGTAAAGGCTCCGCTTGTAGATCCGGCAATGTGGAGATTGATCCGGAAGAAAATCTCTTTTGTGGAGCTCCGATCCGCCGATACCGGCTGCCGTCAGCCGGGTCAGGCAGCATCTGACGAACCTGGGAAAACTGTGGGAGACCTTGTCAACTCTTGCGAAGCTTACCTGAAATCTGACAGCTGCGATACGGTGCCTGCGTCAACCGTCCTTTTCGCCCACCGCAAGTATGAACAAGGATAGCAAAGTCGTGATCATCGGCGCCGGCGTATTTGGTTTGTCAACGGCTGTACAACTTGCTATTGAGGGATTCAAGAATGTTGTGGTGGTTGACAGACATATGCCACCTGTATGGATTTCCGTCAACGTTCTCGACGCAGGGCGATGGCTGATAGTTTAGCAGGTTCCAGACGGATCGAGCTGCGACATCTCTCGCGTCATACGGTTTGATTACGCCGATGAAGACTATTTGAATGTTTCATACGAGGCCTACCTCAAATGGAGCAAAGATCCAAAGTTCAAAGACATCTTTCATCCCTCGTCATACATACTGACGGGTAGCATGACCGGCGGAGATGAATCCTGGATCGACAGGACGACCAGGCAACTGAGCAACAAGGGCTTGGCCTGGACCAAGCTTGATGATGCCGCGACCGCTAAGAGAGCATTTCCAATTCTTTCCGGCAAGCTTGCCGAGCCAGGATTCAAAGGCTACTACAACGACGCAGCAGGATGGGCAGACGCCACAAAGGCAATCATCCAGCTTCGAGATGAGTGTCTTGAACTGGGCGTTTCTCTCATCTCGGGCCCAGCTGGAACCGTCGTTGGTTTTGATACGGACTCAGAGAACAAGATTCGATCAGCCCAAACACTCGGAGGCATGTCAATACAAGGGGATCACTTTGTCTTAGCCGCGGGCGCTTGGTCGTCTAACCTAGTTCCAATGTATAACTCAACACTGGCGACAGCGCAGGTGATAGCGTACACTCCTCTTTCCGACACGGAAGTGCAAAGGTATAAGAAGTTGCCTATCTATGCGAATTTCAACACCGGCTGGTTCAATTTTCCTCCACACGCAGATACGAAAACTCTGAAGATGGCAGTGCACGGATGGGGTTACACTCGTACTCCTAGCAAGGGGGAAGCGTTAATCGAGGCAAACATCTCTACACCCCGGGTGTATCCAAGTCGCGAGCGCCCCAACTTCTGTCCCTCTGAGGGAGAAGAAAGGCTCCGAAACGGACTTCGCGAGATACTGCCGGAACTTGCCGATCGCCCTTTTGAAAAGGTGACCATGTGCTGGTACACCGACACTCCATCAGGGGACTTCATCATGGACTATCACCCTGACTACCAAAATCTGTTTGTGGGAGGAGCAGGAAGTGGACAGTAAGTTGGGATCATGATTCAAAACCTAAAAAATTGGTTGTACTAACGGCTGTTGCTCGCAGTGCTTTCAAGTTCCTCCCTGTCCTGGGAGAATACATGTCACTAGGGCTGAAGAGAACGTTGCCTGCGAATCTGTCCTCGAAGTGGCGATTCAGAACGGAATACAAGGATCGACCCGATGCTTTTGAGGGAGACGGGAGCCGAGGGGGCCCTGCCCGACGTGAACTTAGCTTAGAAGAAAGAGTCCGCCTGGATTCGGTGGTAAAGAGTCACCTCTGAAGTCGTAGAGCAGGAGGCTCACAAAGGTCATTATCTTAATTCGATACATATTCTATGATAAGGGCCGTCTGTTCCCTCATCCGATATCCCGTATTTTGCTATTCCTCGACAGCGCGGATCATTTACCAGCCCTTGTTTGTCGCAGCCCAGTCGCGGATCCAGGAACATCGACAGCGGAACTAACCCCAGCTTCTGTTGAAGGCATAGGCAATCGTGCTAGCTTTAAGAAGGCCTCCTCTTCCGCCACTTTGGCCAATCTCATTTTCTCAGCTTCCGCTGCCAAGCGGGACCGAGTAGCTTCCTCTTCGCTCATAGCAGGATCGATACTCCCATGTGATTCACTTTTCACATCGTCCCATCGCAAACCTTGTCGGCGGTCCTTCTCTTTCTTGATGTTCTCTCCAAGCTCCGTAGTCGTATTAAGCTGCACAGTGTACATCGGGTTACCATTCTCACCCGCTGAAGGAAGCATTCCTCCAGGCTTTGATAACGGGATAGCCCTGCACGCTGCCACCAACGCACAGTGAAACCTATTGCTACGTTGAGAGCGAAGTTTGTCGTCGGACCAGTTGTTACGATGAGTGAACGCCAGTCGAAGCTCCATCTTATTGAGTTCATGGAGGCTGACGACATTGAGGCCCAAGCTGTCCGGAACGAAGTCTCGTGAATTGTTGCTGAGAAATTCCTCCATAATAGTGCGTAGGCGTATAATATCCTTGAAACCGGTCCTGAAGTCCACAAACATTGAGATTCCTTGTCGGTTAATGCCTGACCTTGAGAAGTTCTCAATGCGCTTCTGAGAAAGTCGGTCATTGGAAATTTGCAGATCACAACCGTTGTCGAGCCGCCTGAAGACCGTGTACAACAGGGACTGGCGTTTGACGATGCACTGAGTTCCAACAGTAGAACCAGGATTGTAGACGTTGACAACGTCTCCCACGTCGTAGGGATGATCAAAGAAGACGAACACGATCCCCACCAAAAGATGATGGAACGTCCGGCCGACCGCAAAGGATAGTCCGATCGCCAGACTGGAGAGAATTGTCTGAATCTGTTTGATAGCCGGCACGTATGCAACCACTTTGACCAGTGTAAGCCTATGACCACGTGGAATATTGGGCACGATACTCACTGATAAAGAATATCATGACAGCTGCAAGAATAAGCAGGAGAAACCAGTCGAATGTGTTGATGCAGTGGTCCATGTTGGTCATGTTGCGATAGATATTGTGTCGAGTTTTCCCACCTTCGGTGACTATGCCAATGAACTCCTCAATTCGGATGTCGGGACTGTTGTTTTCGTTCACAGTCTTGAATATGCGAATGGCCTCTTCTTTTCGGTAAGGGCCAAGGACGTCGATGATGTCGTTAGCAGTGAGACCTGATTTGCCCTCTGCCACAAGTGGCAGCCATATGCGTCTTGCCAACGCTTCAGCTGAGACCGGACTGGCCCATGCCCGCTCGATAACTGCGTAGGTACTTGCAGGTCGAAGCCAATGTGCATTAGGATCGTCTGATATGAAATTGCCAAAGAGACTCGTCATTTTGTAGCCGTCGATACCCATCCGGGCGAGGTAGCTGCTGACCCTCGTTCGGCCAGACGCGTGGGCATCACCTTTGGCGTTCCGAATGAGCATGTCTTCTCGGGCGAATAAGGTTCGATGAGGAGGGTGAAGATAAACAGAAGCGTCGTATAGTGTGATCAGCGCGTTTTGCAACTCTCTTGTCCGGGTGAGTTTCACGTTGTCGCCCCGATAATGGTAGTGAATCGTGATGTAGGTGATGAAGATCTTCTCGATGAAGTAGAAGCAGACCCAAAGGATCAGTTGCTGGAAGACATCGGCAACGACATCATCCCACCAAAAAGCGTCTGCCGGCTTGTTGATGTTGACCGCCAAAAGATTGTTGTCTACAATGCACTGCAACAAGATAAGTGTTAGTCAGTGCACTTCAACTACGGCTAGTATGCAGTAAAAGGAGTGACAAACCGCTGCGAAGAAGATATAGGTGACTAGTGTTGTGCCGAGGAACGCTATCGGTCGCCGCATGAACTTGAAAGCCCTCCAGTACTTTTGGTGGGAGGGATTCGTGTATCTATATTGGTTAAGGTTTGGCCGACGAGATATTCAAACTGGCCAACATACCTGGCAATGAGCCTGAAGAAATATGGGAATCCAAGACCAATGAGGTCTGAACCTACGGCTGCTATCCATGTGACCATCAACCACAGGCAGATGTAGAACACAAGGTTGGTGTACTGTTTTGCTTGAATGCTCTCAATGGTGCTGTCATCGGCAAACTCGGCGTCGTTGCTCAGGACAATTGTGGGCACAAGAAGTGCCACGAAGATGACAGCAGAAATGAGAAAATATCGAAGAGCCCACCAAAATAGTCGGCGTCTGTGATGAGCCTTAACAACGGGTGGAACTTGCTGTTGGATCGCCTCCGAATTCGTTGGAAATGCTTCTAAGCTTTCAATCTCCCGAGCCCCCGGGATAGGCTGGTACGCTTTGGTATCGGCCCATTTTTTGGTCGGTGAGTCTTGTGTGGCGATGGACTCAATTTGAGGAAGCATCTGAGAATTGTAATTTGTGCCCGGCAGGCTCGATGAAGATGACCCAGGTGGAAATGGTTGAGGCATTGATTGGGATTGCTCCTGTTGGCTTCCTGGGACTGGTTTCCGGTAGCTCGGCGGGAAGCTGTCTCGCGGACTCGAATTCATATTTGCCTGCAGCCCCGGTGAATTCAAAAAAGATACGAAGGTAGTTCAAATCACCAGAAGCAAGGTCGTGCAAGATAGTGGGTTATCCAAAACTTTTCAGTCTCCCTCTATTTACAGCACAGCTGCAAGGCATCAGCTCATTGCGGCTTATTCGAGGGGCTGTGATGTCCACCCCACGCAAGCCACTTGTCAGAAGTGCTTTCTATGGTGGATTTACTAGAGTGATTCTTGGCTTGAAATGGTGGTTTGAGAACAAGTGAAGGGTCTCATGTGCGGCGACTTCAGGGCGTTTCTCGCGCCATCAAATTTTAAGCTCTGGCTTGCCAAGTCTAGTGCTGACGGACCCAATCCTTTCATAGCCACCATGTGCACTCTAAACTGTCAATTTTTGCAATTTCCAACATGATGGGGGAATGGATCTGAAAAAGGATTCCTGGCGGCGCAGGGCTGAAGGCCGGTCTGTGAACAGACCAGTGGCTGAAAGGGCACGTTTGCAAGCGCGGCATCAACGCGACACTAGCCTAACGGTAAGAACTTTATGGTGTCGGCTTTGCTCTAACCGTTGATCATCGTTCCCACCACTAAGGCTTTAAAACGTGGCCCAGCCGCTCGCTCCATCAAGACTCATGCCTTTTTATTTTGTTGCCTGGAGCACGTCCCGCAATGCAATTCTGACTCGAAAGCGAGCTTGAATGTGGTGGCTAAGGCTGCGGTCTCAGTTGTTTTTAGCGACTCAATGGTTCGTGTCCCTTGTGAAATGACTGGCCGAACCGCGCCTCAACGGCTTCAGTATTTCGACGCAACGGTGCAGTGACATGGTCTTACGGGTTACGCGCAATAGCAACATCAGACTTCAGGGTCTTGTACACAAGGTAGAATGAGAAACAACCTCGGGGAAGCTTGCTGTCAATCTGCACTTCCATCGGATACAGGTATGATTGATAGGTTCTTGAAGCTGTGGATCTCAACAAGGCACTGAGGCGGAAGGTGGTGTGGGTAACTATTGATCTGGATAGAAACCATTTACTGCTAGCGGGCTGTAAGAGATTGATGTATCGTACATGTTTACTCGTGGTCATCAGAATGAAAAACAAGAGCTCGAACTTCAATGCTTTCTCGCGGCGGTGCATCTGGTCGAGCGGTGGGATCGACAAATGCCGTGTGGGGCACTCTTCGCGCCCTTCCATCCGTCTTGGTATCAAAGCATTTGATCAAGATAACTTCCTCCGGCGTAAGGCCCGCTTTGTAAAACCACCGGTGTTCAGCCCGATGCTTGACTTGATAAGTCTCTCCACGCCGGTTAGGATAGATGAGATCCGTCACAACCAAATCCGAGTCTGACACGGAGCCGGCCTCGGCGACGGCAAGTGGGTCTCGCAGGACCGTTTTGATGGGTCGCCAGACGTTGATGATCTGCACGCGGCCCTTGAGCAACTCTTCGGCATCTTCCGGCAGATGGTGGGGCACACGGGAGAGCGCGGCCTTGTACGACTGATCGATGTGAACCCTCTGAACGGGGCCGTGGGAGACCCGATCCTGGGTTGCGGCACTGGGCGGCTGTCGGCGAATGGTGTGATCGAAGATGAAGATGCGATTTGCTCCAGTGCTATGTAAGTTGTCAGCCAATCTCTTTCTGGGCTTCCAGACGCCGCTATTTCAAGGGGAAACCCGTACACGCTCTTCAACAGCTGTTCTACCTCCTTATAATATCCCGACTTGATCTGGGCGTCGTCAAGGAAGTGTTTCTCAGCGGATTGGTGACGATGGATCTGAAAGCCATGCTGGTCCAGAGTGTACTTCTCTTCATCCCCAGACACATCACGGATCTTGACTTGATGAGTCTCGAACGGTCTGTTGTAAGTCTCAGGCTTATCGACATAAGTGGGATGCGGCGGCGAGCCGTCCTCGTTTTCATTGTGGTAGTGCAGCTCTGCAAGCACCTCTCTCTTCAATGCAGGTGGTGATGTGATGCTCTTGGTTGGTTGATTTTGTGTCGAACCAAAATATGGTGGACCCTCGGAAGGGACAAGATGTTGAACAACGGTCGTGGCCATTGGGCTGGTAGATCCAAACACAGTGGATATGGGAATGAATTTCTGATGAATCCTGAGGCTGGTGCAAAGGCACAACATCTGGCAGAAGCAGGGGTCTGGTGTGAATATATACCCCAGATCTACATGGTCCCCGCAAGCACGCAATTCTCGTCCGACAATTAGTGTCTTTGGATTCATAAGCCGCCCAACGAAAATGATCTCCGTCCATTACCAATTTCTCCGCACATGTTCCAGATGTACCGGGTAGACACAGATACCGGTTACACGTGATCTTGACGCGATTTCAAATCAGCCCGAGGCTCAAAGGAGGCCAGTGGATTAGTCCGCCGGGGTAGCAGATGTGTCGTACGATACAGAAGACGGAGCGATCATCCGAGTGATTAATAATAATGATCTTGCTCATCCTCGCTGAAGGTTGAGGCGCGGCTATCTCGAAGACACTTTATCCACAGAGCAATGAGGTAGGCTGTGAAATAAATTGAGTATCCGTTTTCACGATACAGGGATTTCGATTGTCAAGGCTAGCGCGACATAGTTCTTATTGATAGAATAATTCTACACGGTAGCTCCAACTCAACAGCTTTGAACGCTAGTACGGCATCACCCATGTAGTTTTTAGTCTATTGGAGTATGAACAAGTTTGGTAATCGTTGTTCCATCGCTAAGCACCTCTTCCTTCTCTTCAATGCTGTAGCCTCTCCAACGCGGGACTAAAATGGTCCAGACGTACCAGTAAACCACGCCGGCACCCAAGCTTGGAAGTTGATCAGCAGTTAGCCACATAGAGTAGGGGCGTAAGATAGGTACGAACATGCTAACGCCAACGATCGCGTATGTTGCGTAGAATAAGCCGTTCGACGGCTTAACTTTGGGTGGAAAGAATGGTGCGGCTAGCAGAGCCAGACTCAGACTGATTCTCAGAATCACAGCCGGAACCCAAGCCTTGAATGGTCTCTTGAGATCGGGTCGCTTGAACCTTAACCATAGAAGGCCGCCTCCCACTGCCAATGCCATAAACTGGCCTGGATATCCCTCAACCTCTAGAATGAAGGAATAGACTTCGCCAGAAGGAGGAAGCGCAATGACCAGGAACGACGGGATATAGTGAACCAAAAGGCCACCCAAAGGTGAGTTGAACGGCTTCGTGGATGAGAGAATATTGGAGAAGGGGAGGAATCCTTGCCGAGCAATCTCCTGTTTCAGTCGAGCCTAAAAATAGTTAGCAATCATCAACAGTTTCAGTCGATCGTCCTAACCTGAGCGAATGCGACCACAAGAACATTTCCTCCAGCACTCAGTGCAACAGCAAGTGGTAGGATAGTTCGGCCAACACCTTGCCCAAATATCCGTTCAAAGAACAACGCTGCAATCAACTCGCCGCTTTGCTTGATTTCATCAATGGGGACAACGAGAAAGTACGCTACGTTGATGAGTAGGTACATTCCACAAGCCGTCGTCAATGCTGCCACAGTCACAGACCGTAGCGTGCGAACCGGGTCTTTCACCTCGTTGAGAACAAGGTTGGCGTTGTCGAGGCCGGCATAAGAGTAGAACACTTTAAACAGTGAGGTGGATATAATACCCCAGTTCCAATTCGTGCCTTCCCACAGGTTCTCCCAGGAGATGATCGGCATCGTCGTTTGAGCCGATTCTGTCGATGGCGCGAAGAGCACAACATAGAACCCACAGACGATCATGAAGACGACGAGGCCCACCTTGACCCAGCCTAAGAAGTCCTGAAGCTTGATCCCCAGTCTAGGTACACATCCGTGAATGAAGGTGACCGTCGTGAGCAGCCCAACGGCGAGCGCTTTGCGAAGTAAACCGCTTGGGTTGTCACCTCCCAAAGCAAACAAAAGATATTCGCTGAAGACAATACAGTTACTGGCGGTAAATCCTAGGAGGACGACGTGAATAGCAACGAGCGTTGATGCCAAAAACCGCGGTCGACGATAAGTGAATTCCAGGTAGACCTTATCCCCGCCGGACCGTGGTAGCATCGACCCAAACTCCAAGGATATCATCAGCCCGCAGGCTGCGATGAGGGCTCCGACGAGCCAAAGTAAAAGAGAGAGACCAGGACTGCCCACAGATCGGAGGATTGCACCTGGAGTGGCAAATATACCGCTTCCGATCACCCTTGAGATGACCAGAATGTAGGCGCTCTGCCAGCTGAGCGTGCGTCCGAGAGTCGAAGCTTCCGGGAGAACATCGTCTTCAATTGATCTCGATGGTTGTATGTTTCCCGTTGCGAGTTCTGCCTCCGAAATCGAGGGCTTCCCTGACGAAACCGAGTTCTTAGGAGCGCTAGCTGACGAGACAGGCGATGGAGGGGGCGGCGTTATCGACAGCAGAGGCCGCAGCTCGGGGTCGTCGAGGGCACTCATCATGGGGAACTGGGGAACGCGAGCCAGAGTAGTTTCTAGGATTTGTTCCTTCGAGACAATAGTGAAGAATAATTTGTTGGCGAAGAACCGGACATGCGCATCGGCGAGATTCACACCCTGTTATCGAAATGATATCGCGAGCGGCAGCACATGGTTGGAGTCAGGCGGGTTATCATGCCGTCTGAAGAATGAGACAACTGGAGTGTAGGCGACAAGGATGTGCAATGCGGCCTCGTGGAAAGCTTACGCGCAGGGCAGCAAAGTGATCCAAGGGAGGGTCAGCGGCAAACGACACATGCCCACGGACGTCTGTTGATTGATAAGAATGTGGATACAACAACTCTTCGATTAAGTCCCGTGAGGTGTGTCTCGAATGGCGCAATATTGTTTCAAGAATGTAAGTTTGGGAGGGCGAGCAAAGAGAATGCCCGATTGTATTGGGGCGCGGATTCGCACGCCATCATGGCGCAAGGTGACGAGACATGGGTGCGGCCTTCTTACCTCCCCGATATTGCCTGGCCTGTTTCGACACCTGTTGTAGGTACCGGACAGCCGCTCGTGCTATGGCCCGCCGTGTCCGTGCTACCGCGGAACTTCGGAAGCCCCCACTTCGGCCGAACTCTTCACATGCGTGCTCAACGAGAAGAGCCGTTGCATCTTGTGGTCCTCACCACAGATATGTTATCTGAGTTTGAAGACGTGAATGTTGCGCGAAGTATGACTCTTCTAGGAGTTGTACTGCAGAGTTTCAGGGAACATCGTGCCTGAGTTCTCTTAACCCCGCAGCAGCTCCAAATCAACCCGGTAAACCGATTGCCGAACCTACCGAAGATCGTTCACAGAAATTGGCCGAGGCAACGAAACGAAATCGCATTGGGCCGAATGAGAGTTTTCTTTCCCAATAATTTTACTAACTGCTGCTTGACTTGAATACGGACTTCCAGGAAGAAAACAAATACCGTCGCATCCTCGCTGACGGTGCGAAATGGACTCGCACTGCTAGGGTCCTCGTCCTGTGCCGGCCCCCGATTGACAAGACCACATACTTTTCCTGTGTCTGCGCGGCTATATTTCCTGTGTTCTTAAGTACCCCTACCTTATGGATGACGATAGTAGTGACGACGACGACGACGGTGAGGTAGCGTGTAGCCACAGGAAAAGTAGTCGCTCTACCACAGGCGATTGACCCCCATTCACTTCTCGTGTGATGCTTCTGCAATACCAAGCTTCCCGACGGCCTGAATGAAAGTCCCAGTATCCTGGTCGTAATTCTCACCAGACTCCGATCCCAAGAGTCTAGGTATTAATAGCTCGACAGTGACAAGCCCAGCTTCCCCGCAGAACCAGCCTGGAAGTTGACCCGGAGTTCCTGTTGCCCCGTAAGACACAAGCACGCCAATGAGCTCAACTGTGTTCTCGTTAACCAATTTGAGATGCCTAGCAATTTCTCTCACTTGAGCGTGGTTGTCCCGGTGCTGTTTTAGCAAGAAGGTTGTTTCTGGCCGAAAGTACCTTTGCTTGGCGGCGTCCAGAGCAGAGAACCCATGACTGTTTCGTATCAGAGGATCGGCGCCTTTTTCTAAAAGCCGTTTGACTGACTTATATGCTCCCACCAAACTGGCCATATAAATCGGAGCCATCGCAAGAGGAGAGAAAACGTCATTGATTTGGTGTGGAGCATCATACTTCTCAAGCAACTGGGCGAGTACTATGTCAGACATCTCGTGATGCCTGTGGGGAAAGCCAGCCTCTGTGATATTAGACAAGGCTAGGTGCAAAGCTGAAGTTGGTTCCTCAGGAGGGAAAGCAATCCGAAATCCGTCTGAGCCCCCTTTATCGGGTAGGTTCAAGAGGAACTTGATCCTTTGTGCCGCATTCCTGGTTCGCATACGGATCAACCCTCCTAGGAATGTCCTATGGTTGCGGGCCACCCTATGGTTCTCAGCACCTTGATCGTATAGATACCGAGCTACCGTCAAATTACCGGAGTAAACGGCCGTCTCGAATGGTGTCCTGTCCAGCGATGGTGAGGTACCGTCGATAGGAACTCCCGTTTCCAAAATGCTGCGCACGGTGGAAATGTCGTCTGACTCCTTGGCGGCTCTTACCAGAGAACTGTCTCCCCATCGACCTAGAATTGTCGCACTGGCTCCAGCATCCAGCAGTGATTTGACCATTTCGTGATCACGATGATTGATGGCCATGAAAAGAGCAGTTTCTCCACCAAAACCAACATCGATCTCCGTATCAAATCCACAATCCAGACCAGCAAGCATGACGTCAGCTGCACATTGATGAAATGCAACAGCATAAACGGCGGGCATTTTGATGCTGCCTACTTCCAAAACAGCATCCGTGGGAGCTCCGTGGCCGACAAGTAGAGAAATAGTGTCTCTCGTCTCATCCTCAAAATTTAGACCGTGTCGTAGGAGCCGTGACCAACGGGAACTTCCTTGTAAAGGCCCAAAGAGGGGTCGAATGACTACCTCCTTTCCTTGGACCATCGGCACCGTGTCTAACACTCCTTCACTGGCCCCTGGGCTTTGTAGAATCCGACAGAGAATCGCCGAATGACACATGTAAGATGCCATCTGCAAGGAATTCAATGGCACCGAGTTGCTGACCTTGCAATCTGCACGGAACAGAGGGTCTGAACCAACAGCTAGCAGTGCATCAACTGCTGCCAGATTCTTCGCTGCGACTGCCCAGTGCAACGGAGTCCATTCTTTCGTGGCATTGGCAGGTCGAGGTTGGAAATTTCTCAAGTACTCATCCCGCACATACGTAACTGCAAGTGCGTTCGGATTTCCACCTTGCTTGTGCAGCAGGTGCGCTATAGGGCCTGTGTCGGAATCGGGAAAAACACAGAGCCAATGCAACGGACAGATACCCGAGGTGTCTCCTATGCTGGCATCTGCTTGCTTGTTGACCAGCAGCTTGACGATATCCACTCGGGCAAGTCTACATGCAACTAGTAGTGGGCTTTCACCAGCTTGCGAGACTGGCTGATTTAGCAACTGGGGATTGTTGCGGATGAGTTCTTCCACCATGTCGCCCCTTTCGTGGATTATGGCCAATACCAGTGACTGCGATGTGGAAAGCTGTCCCTCACATTGCCCGTCAACGACTGCCTGCTGTGACTGAAGGAGACCAAAGCCCTCGGATTCTAAACGCCTCGTCTGGCTTACTTCCTGAGCTGATCTCCAAGACGAAGCTGATGCGGCTTTCAGCTTTTCGAGTGCCGTGTCACTGCCTAATTCAGCGGCTCTTTTGAGCCAATCGACCCACAGGCCCAAAGATACCGTAGCATCTGGGGGTCCTTGATGGTCGAAGATGTTGATGAGCGTTGTCTGTGCTTGCTCGTGGCCCCATTTCGCGGCACGGAGTAGGAAGTCATGAGCCGTATTAATGTCGAAACGAACTCCAACACCGTTAACGTGAGCAACAGCAATGCTGAATGCAGCAGCAGCTCTTAGCTTGTCGTCGGTGGAGGTGGAGCAGACGGACTCCAAGCTCTGAACGAGGTCTTTCTGGATGCGCTTGGGCATCTTTTGGTAAATACCGGCAGTAATTCGCAGCTTGAAATGCTTCAGCATACCAATCTAATCTGGCGACAAAGTAGACACTGGGGCACTTACATCGGGAATGAAGTCTAAGCCACGTCGAAAGTTGAGTTTGTTATGGACTCTGTTTGCTCTTAACATTAGTTTCTGCTCATGTGCCCTTGGTTGCTCGGCTTACAGTAGTTGCTGGGAGCTTACCGCCGACGCTTGCTCCGAAATAGAACCTGGGTCGGGTGTCAGACCTGTCAGGTCGACTAAGAACGAGACGAAAGACTTGACAGAAACCTCAGTGCTCTCTTGTTGTTCTCGGGCTGCACCACATGCCTGAACAAGGCCACCCATAACCCGCTTCTCAATGAGATTGTAGAGAGAATTCTCAAAGCTATCGCCCTGCATAGCTGTTTTGTTTATGAGGAGAAGCATCTGGACTACCTGTGCAGTAGTATCGTGGAGTTTCTTAGCATCAATTGCCGGCATTCTAACCGATCCAGAGCCCGGCGTGAGGTTTCCGATAACTCCTTCCGCGAGCCTGTGGCAAACGGTAGAAAACACATCCGCCGGTGTCCCCTGGATGATAGGAGTCTTGGAAGTGAGCTCCCGAAGTGAGTCGAGTGCTCGTTGTACCGGGGGACCATCCCCAGATTCCGAAGGGGCAGATTCGAGAGAGCTTGCTGCATGTCTCAAAACTTCGAGTAGACTCAGAATCCGATCCATGGATTGAAATCGTCTGGTGGGAGATGCTTGCAAACTGTAGCGCCATATTTTACAGAGTATCATCAGAGGTAGATCATCATTTTGATGACTATTGAGTACGCGTAAGGGGATGAGGGTTGACATGATACCCGAGGACTTCATCTTTCGTAGATTATCCTCGAGTCCTTCAGTAGGAAAGCTGTCATAGCAGGCCGAACCTGATTCGAAGATGGTGAGCAAAGTGAGGCCATAGCAGTAAATATCCAGCTGCTCTAAGTAGGGCGGACGAATGGTCTCTCCGTATGACTCAGGAGCACAGAAGAACTCCGAGTGTCCGATAATATGGATATCACCACTGGAGAGTGAAAATCCAAAATCGGAAAGTTTGACGATGAAGCTCCTAGTCTCGTGCCTGCAGACTAGAAGGTTGGAAGGCTTCACGTCGCCGTGAATAATACCGCAATCATGCAGCGCCTTGAGGCCTTGAGCAGTGTCGATAGCAATTTGAATTTGATCAACAAATGATGAACCGCCGCCCTGTTCCTGGAATGTTTTCAGGCTTCCGTGCTCTGCATATTCAAGGACCAGAGCGGGCATTATGCGTGGTACGCCGGGCAAGGGCTCCCCAGTGTCATGATACATGACAGCCAACAGTTCAATGATATTGTCGTGTCCTTTCAAAGGCGGGTGGCGTAGAATCTGGAGCTCAGTGGCCGCGTCCGCGAATGCACCGCTGTCCCCTTGTGCTGTTGCGAAGCTGGCTTTGGGATGCTTGACAATGACGAAGTCTCGCCCTTTAAGAATGCCCTCCCCCAGGCCGCTCAAGAATGATGAAGTTTTGACTTTTCTGACATCGAAAGACCCGCCACCGATTGTTACATCTTCAAATGTGGGGAGAATATTGGTGATGAATGGGTGTAGGCCCAGATCGGTGTCTCCACTGAGGCAAACACTCAGAAATCCAGCAAAGTGAGGGCATCTCGAGCTTCCACCAATATTGTCGGCACTGCTCCCGACGATCGAGTCATCTATGGGGCTTGGAACGGGGGCTTTCTGCCGAAATGTCGGAAAACCACTCTGGGAAAAGTCCATGCTTCGTAGTCTGCAATAGTGTGGTCGGCCAGAGTGCTTGGTTGAGCACCGGAAATTGACAGCGGTTCTTAAAGTGCAGCTGGGGAACGGCAGCCTGCAGGTGGTTTTCAGCTCCTGGCCCCGCACCACCCGAGCTGAACACAAACACGTCATATGATCTTTGTGATTGAAGAAAACATGATCCGATAGGCCAAGCGAAGGATGACCCCTGACAACTTGTGCATATACGGACGCGCCACAATCTTTGAGGAAATCACATTTTCCCTCAAGCACAACACTCCTCACAATGTCCACTGAATTCCAGATTGGCGTTGCGGGCCTCGGTATTGGGGCCTTCAGCGGGATTCTCGATGTTCTGTCCTCTTGCAATAAGCTGTACGGGATGTGGCGAGCTATGCGCGGTCTCGACAGCCATTTGAACATACTTCGCGCAAAACTCCTATCGCAACATGCCCTCTTGGAACAGTGGCAGCGGGACTGGCTCATATTTCCAGTCACTCCACGCCAGACGCAAAATGTCAGGAGGCAAAGTTTGGTTAAACTTCACGAGCTTGCAATCATCGAGACGTTGAACGCGACTCACTCCTTGCTGCAGGATCTCGAACCCCTCCTGCATGCTACATCACAGAATGAGAAGATGAAAACAGGAATGATTGCTACTGCGAATCGAATGATATGGGCAAGCAGCAAAGCCTTAGACAGCCAGAAGACTTTGGACCAACTTGAATCTCTGCTTGGTGGTCTCTACCGACTCCTTCCACCCCGAATCCCGAACACTGAAGCATCGCAAGTCATCCTTTCCATCGAGGATATTACCGACGACATGGGAACCGCGGAAACGCTTTCAGGCACTGGAACTCCAAAGTTACAACTCGCAGGCCCTACATCTATATTTGGATGCTCGATATTGCAAAAGGCTATTAGCTTTCGAAATCTCAATACTGAGCTCGAACAAGATCTCAAAAATCGTATCAGCAATTTCATGCACCAAAGATCAACAAAGAACCTTGCCATCAAGGGATCGCGGATTCAAGTCAAGCGAAATGATGATATATCAGCTGGCTTGCGAAGCTTTGGAATTCTTGATGGGAAGGAATCCGTCATCATCGAATGGAAAACGTACGACGCTAGCTGGCAGGGCCAGAAAGGCATCGCTCTCACTGGCAGAATTCTCAATATCTCCCATCTCCTTAACTCCGAAACCAAGCCAGTGGAGCTTCTAACGTTGAAGTGCCTTGGAGTCTTTGATGACCCGCAACGGAACGCATACGGATTCGTATTCCGTTTACCCCCCGAGAGTACTTCGTCCTCGATCGAAGCCCAGGTGGTTTCGCTGAAAGCGCTACTGGACACGCCAAGTCCAGAGAACCTGCCGACATTGGAAGATCGATACAACGCTGCTTATGCACTTTCGCTGTCGCTTTCAGTCATTCACGGAGTGTCGTGGCTTCATAAAAGCATACGAAGTCACAACGTATTGTTTCCTGTCTCAGCCAGCGGGCGGCCTTTTTGGTCTCGACCTTATATCGTAGGCTTTGAGTTTTCCAGACCCGACAGCGTCGATGAATCATCAGAGAAGCCGAAACAAAGCGCCAGGTTCAATGTTTATAGGCATCCAAAAGCGCAAGGAACGCCTGGAGAGGGATATCAGAGAGCATTCGATATCTATAGCCTGGGTGTCATACTGGCTGAGCTTGCAATGTGGCGCCCGATATGGAAAATGTATAAAGATGGTATGGGATCCGAAACATTCCAGAAAGCATTGGTCAGTAAGGTACATGATTGGATTGCGCACTTGATGGGCTCACAGTATTCAAACGCGACGCTAACATGCTTGGGAGAAAACATTGAGAATGGCCAAGACCGAACTGTCCAGTCATTTTACATCAATGTTGTGGAAGTGCTGGGGCGTGTTGTAGCTGAAACTATGTGAGGTAACTACCCACTTTTTGAGCTATTTCATATATACCAATCCAAGCAGGCAAATTGAGCCGTAGTGTCAGCTCCAGTGGAGGCTGGCAGGCTTGAAGGATATGTTACTCGCCGGACACCGGACGGTGCAGCGTGTGATTTGTGGGGCCGAAACGCCGGGTTGGATTCCGAACACCGCCCGGTAGGCTCAGGTTATCGTCCCAACCCTGATAGGCGATGTATTGTATGGAGATGCAAACTGTGATGAGCCTTGTGTCAGTGAGGTTGATATTTCCGGATCGACAACCTTGACATTTATCATAGGCTTGTGTGCTGAAAGTTGAGACAAACGCGGACTCGGAACTACTGTTACGCGCTCCCTACTTCAATACATCTCGGGGTGGAAGAGTTGCTCGTGAGTTCGCAAGGTACATGAATAGCATATTTAATGTGCAGCCTCCTAAATATGTTGTATCGTAGTATATAACGTAACAGCAAACTAGTCTCATGGATGCACATCCCATGCAGGCCACATCTCAAATGACTTTGTCGGGCGTCTCTGGAGAGGATGACACAACACCCGCCTCCGCGTGATCGATCGGGTGACCTTTCTTTGCTGCACGAACCAAGGCCGGATTCTCAGCCTTGAGCTCAGCAAATTTCTTCTCTGCGTCCCAGTTCCAGATGCTATCGCTGGCAAAAACGAGATCCATCTCCTCCAAAGTGCGCTGGTTGGACTCTGGATATAGTGCCCAAACGATAACGATGCAGAGGACATTAACGGCGCCGAAGAGGTAGAGGGTTTTCTCGTTAAGTTTCTCGAAGATCGTTGGAAGAAGGAGTACCTAGGTTGCTCGTCAATGAGTAAACAGGGTGAGTGGTGTTTCTTGAGGATGCTAACCGTCCACCCATTTCCGATAGACCATCCAACAACACCCCAAGCATTACCCTTCGCGCGGACTTGAAGCGGGAATATTTCGGCCGGATAGAGCCAAGGAACAGTAAGCCTTCAAGAGGTGAATGTAAGTATGGACAACTCAAATAAGATGCGGGTTCGACTGACCATGTAGCACCGAAAATGGCAGTGTATAAGAAGACGAAGAATGTTGCAGCGCCACCGAGTCCAGAACGATTTCCGGGGTCGGCATTCAAAGTTGCGCGAGCTAATCCGCCGGCACAAAACATGCATATTCCTTGCCCGGCTGCGCCCCAGTACAAAGTCCAGCGCCGACCAATGCGATCAAGAGTGAATACACAAATCAGGGTCGCGAACTACCATCGATTAGTCAGTTGAAACAAAACGAACAGGAAATGAACAGATTGTTCACATACCATATAAGTAATGTTGTTGACACCGCTAACCCAAAGGCGCTGTTCAGAGCTTATACCGGCAATGGTAAAGATCGTAGGCCCATAGATTGTGATGCCGGCAATGCCAACCCACTCCTGAAGAATTTGCAGCCAAACCACAAGCTGCACGCGACGAGCCGTGTGCAACTTTCCGGAGCCCCAGCCAAAGAACATCGCAATATAGCTCTGCTGCTTGGCAGTATCATGTTCCAAAGCTTTGATGTTGATGATATCCTGAAGTTCGGCCTCGGCGAGCTCACCGTCTTCACCTTCATTACCACGGAGTCTCCCAAGAATAAAACGGGCCTCTTCCTCACGCCCCACTTTCACGAGCCATCGTGGCGACTCGGGCATGAACCATATCATGAGAAATAGAGCAATCAAAGGGACAATCTGAAACGCAATCGGGAATCTCCAGATGAAAGAAGACGTAGGGTCCTTGTACTTTGATGTGCCGCTGAAGAACTGTTAGTTCAGTTGACTGTCCTTGTTTCTGTAAAACCCACAATTGCAGCCAGTATGCAACAACTACACCGAAAATGTTCAGCGTAAATTCCATAGCCACGAACATGCCTCGTGAAGTATGGGAGGCGATTTCAGTTGCCCAGACAGGCGTGATAGCGTTTAGCATGCCGGTGCCGATGCCGTTGAGGACTCGAGCTGTGGTCTTTATCAACAATGGTGATGCCAATATGAAGAGAGAACGGCGAGTCCTTACCACAAAACATCCAGTTCGCATTCTGAGCAGCTGACTGCAGCGCGGCTGTAAGAATGGACCAAATGCAAGCGACTCCGATAGTTTTGAGCCTTCCGTAGCGATCGCCAAACCAGCCACCAATGAGGCAGCCTACAAGTGTTCCGGGGAGGTAATACACGGCAACCTGGCGCTGAATGAGATATTGCAATATGACAATATGGTTGAGAACTCACAATTCCACCTTGCAGCAACGGCTTGTCTACCACGACAATTTGTTCGTCTTCGTCCCAATGGCCGAAACCCATGAGCTCGGCATAATCCCGCGCGGTGTTGACTCCTCCCATCAGTCCTTGGTCATAGCCAAAAAAGAAGATTGAAACACCGGCGACCAAACACACAGTGTTCAGTAACGAGGCCTTGTAAAGCCTGTTGGCGACGTTGTACCGCCCGAGGCGGCCCGGAATGCTGGACATTGTGACAGCTACTTGCACTGTTGGAATGGGAAGCCAGTAATTTGTCTTTCTGTTGGAGTGCAAATTTCTTAACTCTTGGGGACGAAGACATGATGTGTGATCGGCTCACGGGCAATGAGAAACGGCAAAGGTCGGGTGAAGGCCGGGGCATTTTCCGAAGCCTGCAGCGGGGGTGGGGCATGGCGTTCATTCGCTCCACCGAACAAGAGTCCGCAACGGTTCGGGGGGATAATCATTTCTTTTTGTGGCATGATCAAGTGATGCTATGCACCTGTGAGCAGTGATCCAATTCGCACGCCTAGCAGTCCGGGCAGAACCCCGAAATCCCCGATGTCGCTGAAAACCATCCCCAATGCACTGCGTTTTAGAGAAGGCTTCAGTGACTGACATTGTTCATCTCGATTAAGCGATCCAACGGAACAGATCAACCCCGCTACCCACGATGTCGAACCGGCCATCCCCGCTCAAGAGTCAAGTGAATCGGTTCTTGACTGACCCCCGCACCGAAAGTCGGAGCCGGGGAGGCTCTTCTGTTGCATGCATTCCGGTTTGGGAAGTTTGAAGCGCAGCAACACGTAGCTGGTGAACTCATCGCGAAGGGTACTTTTCAAGACGTCCATGACGTCAGATCATCGGTGTTTGGCTTTGTTTTGCTTTGCAGCATTATCTGCGTGAATTTGGGGCGACGGTCGTATGGAACACCGCATATTAAACACGCAGCGCATTTGCGCCAAAGAGCGCTGGAAATATGTGGTATTGAGGGACGAGCGGCCAAAACAAAATTGCAGCCGCGATCTTGAGATAAGAAATAAAAACGCTGTCAATTCATTCTGGTAGCAATGCACTTCTATTTACAGCCGGATGGTCGGACGTAGGCGTGGTTCTGGGAACCGCCAGCAGAGTTGCCAGAAGCAGGCCCTTGATAAGTGCTGAGCAAGCTGCAAGATGTGGAACTGCCCTGGTAGAATGATGCTGCAACGCAAGCTGCGTTTGCGGCACATTTTGAAATGCAATCGCCCAAGCTAGTGGCATCAACGTAACCAAGATAATCTCCGGAGGCCAGCCTGCCACAGTAGATTTGGAATTTCTTGGAGCTCGATGTCAAACAATAATTGTTGTTAGTGGAGCACGTCGGGCTGCTTGATGCCGTGCCGGCACATGCCGGTGCAGGGCAGGCCGAGCAAGTTCCAGGAGAGAACGATGTCTGGCACCCAAACCCGCAAAAGTCGCTTGATGTGCCACAATATCCGTTCTTTGAGCTAAAAAGAACAGAAGTCAGTCATCTTGCTACTGGACCATGAGCAGCCGTGTTCCATGAACTCACCAACACGTTCCCGATGGACAAGTATATCCGTTTGAGCCACCGCAGCTGTTATCTGGGCTTGTTTTGCTGCCCGTTGACGCAGGTTTCGCAGCGGAAGTAGTGGCGCCACCACCACTCGACGCAGAACAGGTTCCGAAGGAGCTTTGGCAGCCAGCAGCACAATGGTCGCTTGACGAGCCGCAGTATCCCCACTGGCTGCAGCAGTCGCCAAAGCTGCTTCCTTGGCAGGTGAACCCCGCAGTCCCACCGCAAGTTCCATCCTGGCTTACTGATTTCCCACCGACGGTGATCGAGCTGCAATCTCCGAACTTGGACTGGCAGCCGTTGAGGCAATGGTCATCTGAGTTACCACAGTATCCCCACTGACTGCAGCAGTTGCCAAACGACCCTCCTGTGCAGGTGTATGCGTTGATCCCTCCGCAAGTCCCATCTGGAGAAATCTTCGTCGAAGAAGACGATGTTGTCGTGCATCTGCCAAACTTGGACTGGCACCCGGCCCCACAATGGTCATCGCTGACTCCACTGTCGACGGTGTCAGTCGCTGTTCTGTGAAGGCTCATCTCGTGCAGATCATGTGCAATACATACCACCAGTTGTATTGACTGCAACACAATGAACCGGGACATGTCAGCCCTTTGGTGCCTCCACAGGTGTTGTCAGTTGAGACGGCTGCCGCTGTAATTCCCACCAGGGAGAAGAGCGCGGTGACGATAGAGTTGACCATTTTTTCCTAAGCACGATGTGTTTTGTTAACAGAACGTGTAAATCAATTATTTCTGAGATAAGTGGTCGTTCTTGAGTCTGGTTGATGAAGGAAGTGAGGATGGAAGCCGATGAGAAAGCAACTGGCTTGTAGCGACTTATTAAGGTAACTGGCTACTTCTGTGGTTGCTGCTTGCAAACAAAGACATTCCGACGCGCCCATTGCATTGCGTCGACACGGTTCTGAGGATATGTCATGATTGTCTATCGTCCGCAGAAATTAGAATTCGCCAAGTCATGAACTTTTAGGTAGCTACAATGTCTCTTACGCAAGTGGCTAGTAGATAGCCCACAGCTTAGCGTTCGTTTTGGGTTTGAGATGCTAGATGCTAGCTTGATTGCTTGCAATTGTCTGATGTCTCGACGTATCTCCACGCTAGTCCCAGCTGGTGACTGGCATTGTGACCCGTGCTCATTGTGTGAAATCATCGCTGCTTCCGTCGACTTTGTTTTCTCCTCTGTGGTATGGGAAAATAGACGTGCATGCCGTTGATGGCTGTGATTATCATTAATTACATCTGAGCTCCTTCATTCCCCTCTCGCGTCGAAGGACGCGATTAAGTTGCCACGGCCGGCCCGATGGCGCAGATCCGTTCCTGTCTAGCGCAACTGTGTGTTGTACTTGATTGATCTAAACCCAAGACGTCGGTATCGACAGTACTGTGCCTAATCTTGCGATGATAATACGCTAACAAAAAGCCCTTTGTTCCTGTTGTATTCTAGATGTGCTGTTATTGAAGTTAGGTTGGAGTGCTCGATATGTGGGCCCAATGAGAAAGTGTTGCAAGAACAGTGAGGATGTGACTGATCGTTATGCAAAGAGTCAAAGGCGTTATTGACCAGCGGCATGTTACGAGCCTCCAACTACAACACACTACATTCGCCATGATAGCAACCCATTTGCTGGCAGGTATCCCCAGAAATGACGCCCGTAATGCCATCTTTGTGCTCTCCAACCTTTCATAGGACCAGGATCCAACTTCAGGACGTTGTTCATTAGTGTTTCCCCAACTCTCCGCATGTCGGTGTAACTTTGCTTGAAATCCCTAGCAAACAGAGGCGCGTAACAATTCCTTATCAGGAACTTTGCACTCCCACCGGCAATGAGACGCTACACAACAATCCATCCTCAGTTTGGGCTGGATTGCACATCAGGCAAAGTAAGCCCAGTCAAATGTTCGGTTATGGTTTTCCTTAGCCTAAGAAGCAAGAGCAAATTTCAGGTCTTGAAAGACCTTAAAAACCGCAGAACCCCTGGACACTTCCGGATTGAATGTTTTTGACATGATCGCACGAAGTTTATGCAATCGAAATGTATCTCTCATTTATCATTCTCTTTACAGCTTTTGCATTCCTGGCCCTCGCCTTGCCTGCGATCTCTGACGTGCCATGGGCCAACGTAACGATCTCAGCTTCCCCCGACCGACGGTATTTGTACCAGACCAAGACTTGTCGGCCATTTTTCTGGATTGCGGATACGAACTGGGAACTCTTCCATAAACTGAATAAAACTGATGTCGACATCTATCTTTCGGACCGCGCTGCCAAAGGCTTCAACGTAATTCAGGCAGTTGTCTTATCTAAGTACAACGTCACCACTATCCCGAATTTCTATGGACATCTTGCCATAGATAACGCAAATGTCACTCAGCCCAACCTGCAGTATTTCGAACATGTCGACTGGATCGTTACCCGTGCTGCAGAGTATGGAATTCTAATCTGCTTTGTTCCAACCTGGGGTCGGTATGTTAACTGGGGCTGGTATGGCACCACCGGGTACAAATTATTTAACGAGGATACCGCTGAGTGGTTTGGACGGTTTCTGGGTAATCGATACCCCGGAATTCCAAAAATGATGGGCGGTGATTCAAACGGTTTCTGGGCGAACAACGTACCTCAGGCTCGTGCGGCCTGGCGTGAGGATCCCGAGTCTGACCCGAAATCTCATCTCGGGCCAATTGAAGATACCAGATCAATATGGGCAGCCATGATGAGAGGATTCATAGAAGAGGAAGCGAAGATGGGTTACGACGCGTTTGTCACGTTCCAGCCTACCAGCCCTTGGATAGCTGACCCACCCACCCCTCTGCCATACGGACACAACGTAAGGAAATCAACCCGTGTCAAGAATGCGTTCTAACATACCTTATTGCAGTATATCAACGGAAGCTTAGGGAGCTTAAGTATGGATGCCGTTCAATCGGGGCACGAAAGTCCGGATCCCATGGGCGTTGACTCTGCCTTCACTGTCCTTCGGCCGTGGGACTCACGCAAGAACTACGAAAATATCATTCAAATGCGAAACGAGTTCTCCGGCCCTGTGATGGACGTCGAGAATCATTACGAGGGAGCTCACGATTCGTTCAACACAAGCAAACGAGTATGGAATGAATCGGATGTCCGGCATGGCTTTTACCCTGCTGTGTTTTCTGGGGCTTGCGGGATCACATTTGGTTCTCTTCCCGTCCAACAGTCATACGAGAACATTTCTCTCATTGCTGGGCCCGAACATTATATGCCACCGCAACTTGGGCTGTCGGAGAATGCGAGTTGGCATGAAGCGCTCGACTGGCCCGGCGCAAGTCAAACTGGATATGTTGGCCATTTGCTGGCGGATCTGACAGACAGTCAATTCAAAAAAATCACTCCTGCTCGCGAGCTGATATCATCACCAGCAACTTCAGCAGATGACATACTAGCATTCGAGGCCGATCGGTACATTGCGAGCATGATAACAATCGGACGCTTCTGGGTATATAGTGGATGGGGCGACGCTTTTGAAGTTGATATTCAAGCTTTAACAGCGAGATGGGATTTGACTTCTGTACGGATGACTGTCAACTGGTTCGACCCACGAACGGCTCTGCTAACGAATGCGGGAACAATTGACACGTCGTCAACGGGTGGGAGGATG